CGATGCAGACAGAAGCGTGTACAGTATGAGCCAATCAGTGGCAGTAATGACAGAGCATGCGCTGTTATGCAAAAACCGTGATAGAGTGAAGCCGCGGAAGTCGAAGCGCGAAGTGGCGAGGGTTCACTGTATAACTTCCCTTGTTTATAGCCAGTTTCCCCTACTTGACATTGGATGATACAAAGAGCCCGATTACACAAGACCCTGCAGTGATTCTGTTTTGCATATGAATACTTTCTAAAGTCCTACCTACAGGAGGTTGGTTTTTATGCCAGGCTGCTCTCATCCTTTTCAAACACAAGCTAGCTCCTAAGTGGTGACAAGGTGAAAAATGGAACACAACGTGGAAAGAAGACAAGCTTTTGTTTCCAGCTCTGTCAAAGCACTCCATGTGTTGTCATACCACACTCCGTAGACGTGTTGATGCTGAAACAATCACCGTGGAATCCCAAGTGCCTGCCTCGCCAGAGGCTCGCAAGTCTGACCTGGTGCTGGCTGCTCCCACAGAAATGGAACAAGACTGACAGCGGGGCACGGGGTTTTGTCTAGTGGCCACACTACTGCAGCAAATAGTGGAATGTGCACTCTCACATGGAATCCACTGGCCCAAAGGGACAACCACTGAATTGGGATTAGCCGTCAAACCCTTGAGAACAAAGGAGTGCATGGAAATTGTCTAAACCATATAACAAGTGGCTGCAATGTCTGTTTTTTTAATGTCTTAGAACCTGACTGAAGTTCTTGATAAATGAAACATTTCTCCACAAACTTCCATGCTTTTAATGACTGGAGGTGATTACATCTCAAGGTTATGCTAAAAATGACATGCAGATAAGCTGCTGTCTTATTTGCCTCCCTCACTTCTGAATACGACATGCATACGAAGCTAGGCCTCATGACATACAAATTTAAGCCCAAACTACAATTCTCCAGGGTACCAAAATGAGCTTCCTGGGCAGGCTGTGTGGAAATGGACTCTGGCACCTATCAGTACCCCAAGTAGACCAGAAGACTGCACGGCCTGAGGGAGCTTGCAGCTACTGCCATCATAGGTCAGAATTAGACTACCTTCTACCATTCTCATCAGTGTGGCCTTGAGCAAAGGGGTGCTAGGAATTCTTTGCGGCTGCTGCTCCTGGGCCTCCCGACCAAGCCTTGTGGTGGGAAAGAAAGCGAATGTGTGTCGGTTTAGCTAGTTCCCTAGCATGGAAGGCTCACGCAGAAACTAATCAACAACAGCATGAGTGATACTGAACTATCTTGGTTTTGGCTGCTTGGATAAGACCCAAGACCCATGAAGTTGGTTTTATGCTCAATTGTCACTGTGGCTGCTGCTGCCATTGCTGCAAAACCCTAACCTGCCACTGTCCTGGCACTGTACCCCTCCCCAAACACACAGCACTTGACTGCACCCTCGCTCAGACTCCACCAGGAGATTCTGATCTGCCTCTGGTGGCCTGAGCTTTACTGCAGTTCTCCTTGGGGGTACTGAACCCCTCCAGGTTCTAGAGTCTGAGAGTCAGTGGTGCCTACAGGACAGAAGCAGGTGGATACAGAGAGAAGCTCTCTCCATGGAGGCTTCCAGGACTGGGGAGAACTTCCTGATGGGAGTGGATGGCACATTTCTGGGGACACTGGAGCCCCTGTGCTGGGAAACCTCGGACCTGGCCTGATACAGCTCTTCACCTGGATCCTTTCTGGAGCTAATGCCCAGGTAATGCTAATTATAGGTAAGTCTCCAGGAACCTTGGAGGTCTGAAAGAAAATTACAGAACCCACAAAGGGCAATGAGACTCTGATTTGGCTCTGGGTGTGCAGGCGGATCTAAGGGTAAACTCATGAAGAACCAGCTTTGGGCAGCTGCTAAGGGCAGAGTCCTTCTACCTTGACACAGAAAGGCTGGCTGGCTTGACGTGCGGGGAGCTATTAGGATTCCTGATGGTAGGGCTGGTAACTGGCGACCTAGCTCCGGGTGGCAAGGGAGGTCTTGGCCTAACTCTGAGTAGTTATGGTCAAAGAGGAAGTACTACAGAAGAAAGGGTTTGCAACAGGAAGGGTGAGTCCACTGCCAGCAGGTACGGGATGTATGCTGATCTGTGCCACACAGTGAGTGATAAAGATGGGATCTGCCCACCTGTCACATATACTGATTTAAAAGTCATTATCATGGAGCAAGTACTTAAAGCATGGGACTAAAAACCCACTGCCACTGAGTCAATTCCAGCTCAAAGCAATCCTATAGGACAGAGTCGAACTATCTGTTCGGTTTCCAAGGCTTTACATCTTTTCAGGAGCAGACAGCCTCATCTTTCTTCTGTGGAGTAGCTAGTGAGGTCAAGGTGCTGACCTTGAGGAATAGCAGCCCAACACGTACTCCACTAAAGAAAAACTAGATGGGACCAAGATAGGAGCCCGGAAGCCTGAGAGTAAGGACTAGCAAGGGAGGGAGTGGGAGAGCAGGAACTCTTAAAACAGAAAGGTCATGTTGGAGAAAGTATGCAAAATTCAAAAGTTCTGTCAAAGGAATAAAAAAATGCAAGATGCTCAAGAAGACAGAAGTAGAAAGTTGTACCAAATATCAAGAAAAAAGTCAAGTTAGACTATCAACTTCAGTAAACAAAAAATGTTTCATAAGATTTGGTGAGTAAGAATTCAACCGCTTCAGTGAACTGTGGAATCCTAATACAAGACTACATAGGTGAAGGAGAAAATATGAGCTAGTTAGAAAGGAGAAATTAGGCACTAGCCTTACGCAGAGTAAAAAAGAGTAGAAAATGGAGAATAAAAAGGTAAAATAAATAGTCTATTAAAAAAAAGTTCACATAGTACAATTTTACAGGGAAAGATGCAAGTGCCTCAGATGTTGATTAGGAAGAAGCCAAAGCAAGAAAGGATCTACAGACACATGAGGAGGAGAGACAAGGTCTGTGAAGACCCAGGAAGAACCGGAACTGGTCTGAACAAGAACTCGTCCTCAGAGACTAGTGATAAAGACGGAAGGCTGGTCAAGGATCTAGAAAGGGGAATGTTGCAATGGGGTGAGATCCTGAGGAGGGATGTCTGCGGCCAGCCCATCCCCTGCTAATAAGAGCAGTAGAAGATAGAAAGTAAACAGGCTGGAGGTAAACCTCCGAGAAAAGTAGGCACAGGGAGCGAGGGGCATGGAAAAGAGCGTGGAGGAGCTCAGAAAGGAAGAGATGGTCCAGTGGCACTCCTTGACCATTGACTGGGTTTTCTCACCGTGGATCCACGAGCACAGAACGAGAGAACGTAGATGAATGGAGTGACACAAGAGGTAAGGGCTTATATATATGGTGGGTGTGAGGGAGAGTTTGTGGATGTAAGGCTTCCCTTCCCCTCACACCAGTTCTTCCCTTTGGAGATACGGATTCTGCCCGAGCCAGAGCTAGCTGGGTCTACTACTTTATCATAGAACGCCTCTACAAGCCTGTCACCAAGTACCATAATTCAAGAAAAGTACACCAGATCAAGTCATGTTGCCAAAGGGATGGGGGGTGGGCGGGTAGCGGGTAGCATGACCATGGGGTTCTTGTAGAATGGAAAATGGAAAAATATAATTAAAAGGCAGATTCTTTTCTTTAAATCCTCAAGATTTAAGATGATCAGGCAGACTAAATTTATGAGGGGAAAAAAACGCATTCACTAAACGTAAGCAGCATACCTGTTTGGGTTCTGTGGGCTTTTTCTCTGGTGTTCGAATCTTATTAATTTCAGGTCCAGCATTATTTGCATCGGTTTTACCTAAGAAAATATTAAAAAATCCTCATAAATTTTCTCCAGTAGATGTGATGTTTCCAATGACTAGACACTATTAGATAAAAATGTAAATATTTCAAACATTTGTTCACACATTATCAATAACTTACATCACTGCCTGGGTTTTGTTCTTACAATTTCAGAATTGCAGTTGCTCTGCAGGAATGAAAACTTATAAGCAAAGCAAACACCATGACCAGGCAAACACTCAATATGGGAAACTCCTGAAAACAGCAGTTCTCAACCTGTGGGTCACGACCCCTTTGAGGGTCAAATGACTCTTTCACAGTAGTCGTCCGGTTCATAACAGTAGCAAAATTACAGTGATGAAGTAGCAACAAAAATAATGTTATGGTTGGGGTCACCGCCACATGAGCAACTGTATGAAATGGTCGCGGCATGAGGAAGTTGAGAACCACTGCCTTAAAACATTAAGTAAACCCAAAAGAAAGGGTCCAGCTTCTGGGTCACGGCACTTCATTTCGTTAAGACGAGACCTATAAAAGCTCTGACATTTCCATCTTCGTGCACAGGCGCAACACTTGGATCAGTTACAAGTGCAAATACGGAAAAACCCAAATAAAAGAATCTACACTGAATAGATTCTGAAGGCATGCAGTTATATACTTTAAAAAATAATGAATATCAAACTACATGAAGTGGATGAAACTGAAACAGGGAGCAAAGTCAAGGCTTAAAGATCACTTTATAGCAGACTTACAAATGCTATTTTGTGAATGTGAAAGGCATTTAATCTACTAAAACTTAACTACTGGCGATTTAAAATTCCTTGAATGAAGCTTTGATTTGGGTTCTTAGTTCAAAGGCACGCTTACTGGAATGTCACTGGAACTTTGTAAAATGGATTATCATATTTTACTACTAAACTTCAAGAGATGAAAATGGCCCCCCACAGTGGGACAAACCAAGAAGGGAACACAACAAATCAGTAATGGGCGCAAAGCCAAGCCATAAAGCCCCTAAAGAGCCCCCCAAATAGATTGCAGGCTAGGAGGGGCAGTTCCAGGAATTCCCCCAGGACCAGTGGGGAGGAATTCCCCAAGGACCAGTGGGGAGATAGTCATAAAGGTCAGCAGACAGACCTGGAAATATGCATGTTTTTTGGTTGTTGTTATGGCTTGTTGTAGTTTTTCGTTTGTTTTTGTTTGGGTTTCTTTTTCTCCTTCTCTTTTTTTTTTGGGGGGGGGTGTCAAATGTTTGTTTTCTATTTGTTTGGACTATGCCATTGTTGGTATGCCTACTTAAACAAGACAGGCGTGGGAAGCAAGCATGAGAAGAAAGCAACAGGACCAACGGTCCCGCGGGTACTTGGGGGGAGAAGGGGGCGGGGGAAAGGTGCGATGGGCAAACAGCACCATAGATAAGAGAACAACTAGGGAATTAAAAACAGTAACGAGGTGGATACAGAGATCCTCGGTGCACTGGCGCAACAGCAATCTAGCTGAAAGTAAATACTATGAGGCAGAAGTGGAGCAAGCATGATGGTGAGGGAGAAGGAAGGTAAAAGGAAACAGGAATGATTTAGGAAGCAAAGCTATGGATAGAGGCACGAGCATAGGGGTGTCCATATGTAATTACATTAATCCATTAAAAATAGAAGTGTTGGCTTATGTACATATATTTATATGGCAATACACTGAAGTAGTAGACGGACTCCCTCAATACAAGGACACACTGTTCTAACAAATTGGCAATCTTGAGATGCTCATCCTCCCAACACAATCACTGAAGATAAAATGGGTGCATAAGCAAATGTGAAGAAGGCAGATGGTGCCCAGCTATTATAAGATTTAGCGTTTGGGGTTTTAAAGGCTTGAAGTGAAACAAGCAGCCATCCAAGAGAGAAACAACAAGCTCGCTTGGAAGAAGCACACCAGCCTGTGCAAGCATGAAGTGTCATCGGGACTCCAGCCTGTGTGAACATGAGGTGTTATCGGGACCAGGTAACAGGCATCAGAAGACCCTTAACAATCAAACAAACAAAAGCATATGGTTAAGAATGAGGGGGATTGGAGCAGAGACCCAAAGCCCATCTGTAGACAATGGAACATCCCCCACAGAGGGGTCACAGGGAAAGGATGAGCCAACCAGGGTACAATAAAGCACCGATGAAACACACAATATCCCTCTGGTTCCTTCAGGCTTCCTCACCCCACCACCATGACCCCAGTGATGCCTCTCACTTCAGACTAGACTGGATCATGTACACAGCCGTAGATAAGAGCTCAGGACACATGCAACCCAGGAGCAGGAATGGGAAGAGAGATACCAGATGGGAAGGGTGAAGGGGGAGAGGAGGGGAAGAAGGGAAACTGATCGACACACAACCACACACACCCCTCCAGGGGAAAGAACAATGGAAACCATGGGGGAAGGGAGACAGTGGTCGGTGTGAGACATGGAAATAATATATAATCTATCAAG